ACACGCACACACGCACGCACGCACACACACCCTTTAATCATGAGCTAAGATCTGATCTGTTAAAAGCAGCCTCATCCCCCCACCCCGCCCCCCAAACCCTTTTCACCTTTCACCTCACCTATTCCCTTCCCTTACACACAACACCCCTTTATCGTGAGCTAAGATCGGACCTGTTGTAGGCTGTGAAGCTCCATCGTAGCACGGGGTCGGCCTCTCTCTTGGCCCGACTGTGGCTCTCCCTCAGATGACCGTGGTCAAAGTCCACCGTCTGGTAGTCCAGAATGTAGTCGTTCAGGACAGCCGCCTCTGTAGGTGTAAAAAAGTTAAATTAAGTTTTAGCGGTTTGAGTAAGAGTTTTACGCCATTTGCAACACAATTAGGTCATATTAGTGCTGCAGGTTAAGAGCTTGTTTGAGCAAAGAGAATTCTAGACGAATATCGAATCAATAATGGTCGTTTAGTGAGGTTTAAAAAAATTTTTAGTAAGGTTTTAAGGCGCTCACAACTGCACAGTCGTTTAGCGCTGGTGAAAAAGGTAAGACAGACGCAATCAACAGCGAATTAAAGAAGTAGGAGCTACCACTGGCGCCCTCCAACCACCCGAGAAGATTACAGGTTTTACTAATACTAGAGAGAAACGTACAAAGAAATGAAAGAGAAATAAGAATGTTAGACGTTTGACATGGAAAAAAAAGAAGCAAACCATACCAGCGTGCCCGCCAACCAGCCACTATCAGCATCTTTGGAACTACGATATGGCTCTTCACCATGCACACAAAAGAAGCAAGTTCCAAGCCATCGTGGTGAAGACAGTACCTCTCAATTTTATTTGATTATGCAATGATAATATTCAAAATACTATTTTACAAAATTATTTTATTTAGTTTTAGTAAGAGTTTTACGGCACTTGCTACACACAATAAGGTCATATAAGTGCCGAAGATTAGAGATGTTACAGGGGGCTCTCGTGGCCTAGAGGTTAAGGTGTCGGCCTCTGATTCAAAGGTCCCGGGTTCGAATCCGGGTAGCGACCGAAAAATTTCTTCTCTAAATGTGTCTCCTTTCACCTCATTTCCTGCTTTCTGGCAATGTTCTGTCGTCTGCTTTCGTCTCCTCTTTCTGCCCCCCACCCCCTCACCTCCTTTGCCCCTTCCTCTGGGCTCCTGATTCTTTCTGCAGCCTTTCTACTGCTACTCCTTCGCTTCTTCTTAGTGCTGTCTTTCAGCCACACCCCTGATCTTCTGGTAGGAAAGATCTACACCTAGCCTTCTCAGACAAGGGCCAAAAATCTCGGACGGCCCATGTGCAAGTTGCGCACGTTAAAGATCCCTTGGTGGTCTAAAATCGATAAGAGTAGGCTTCGGCCGCCACACGGGCAAAATTCAAAATTTCCTACCTTCTGAAAATATTAGGTGTGTCCCGCGCGCTCATATGACCTTATGCAGTTGCGAGCGCCGTAAAACACTTTACAAAAGCAAACAAAAACAAGAGATGTTACAAGAAAGTAACATACACAAAAAGAAGGAGGAGAGATAAGGACGATAGATGTTTGATAGGAAAGAAGGAGCAAACCACACCAGAGCACCCGCCAACCACCCACTACAAACGTACAAGCTGGCCCTAAATTCTGTCAAGATAATATGTTGCAATCACAACTGTTCCTAGCTGCGTTCCCACAATCAATCTTTAATTTGTTTAAATAGATCAGATACAATTATCAATTCGAGCGTCAAAGGCCAACAACAGAAGAGAGAGAGGGG